GGGGCCAGGGAGACTGAAAAACGGCAAACTTCGCAAGGCTATATTATCCGCATTTTACAAGATTTTGCAACAAAACTTTGGAATATTACTAATTTTGTGATGCTCTTTCAAGCTGTGATGAAATTTTTGTCTAGATCAAAATTTTAGTTATAAGGGAAAAGGTCCATTCCTACTGTGATCACAGAAACTTTGATAGTGTAAACAAATGTTCTTCATCCAGGAATGAACCAACCAACCATGATGTTTTCCAAACACTTTCATGAAAAAGAGTTCACCTGAAGGGGGAAAATGCGCAATGAAAAAAATTATTGGTGCTGATGTTATGTGTATGACTGGTATTTTAAAACACAATCAATGTATATTTGTATTATTTTAAAATTATATATAAAATCGCATTACTACTGTGTCAATACTTGTATTAAAGGTGGATTAAAGAGCTATATGAATGAAACTATTGTTTAAACCAAGTGTTTTGTAAGTCAGAATATCTATAGTCACTAGAATATTTTAGTTAGTTTCGACACAGAATAGAGACCATACTGCAGAAGGCTGCCACGCCAGTTCGTCATCAAAATGCTGTCGCCATGTTCCTAGGCAGTGGAGGAATATTTAGCGTATATAACAAGGGTGTTTTAGTTTCATCTGTGATGTCGTGTTTATATTATTACGGAACTATAAGGTCGGCCTTCTGTAAGGTTTCTATTCTGTGGTTGCGATATAACGGTCGGCATAGCAACCGTGTATATTTGTGAAGGCAATGAGTAGACAATTTGATTTAATTAAAATTGATTCATTGCCCGATAGTGTCCTTTAGAAATGATAGAGCTGTCACTGATGAAAGCATATGAATTTACTTTAGTGATAACACTGGGTCAACAAAGCAGGGGGGCGGGGTGATAAGGCGTGGAGTGTGCAACCACTAGATCAGCACGTGGGTGCAACATGATAAACATGGAAAGTTTCAGTATTAATTTTTGGTTCTAGTAAGTATTCAATTAGTGTCTTTTGAAGAAAGGACTTAACTTAAAAAAAATATTTCGATATACGAAGTTATTCCATGTTAGAGCCACACACATGACCTAATGGTGTTATCATAATCAAGAACAAAAACGGCGGATTTTGGCCTTAATTCGTGAGAATGGCTAATAAAGGATGCTCTTTTCTGGATCTCCAGGGAGAACGGATAAGATAAGAACTGACACAACTATCCAGTATAAATAAAATCGGTTTAGTTCAAAGGTCGGTTGTACATCAGGCACATAAAGCTTAATGAAAAAAATCACTGATTCCGTATAAATAGCGCTGTCCGGCCTTCGTACAAACGGCCCAGGGTTCCTCCTGCATGCAGTAACATACTGACATTTGACAGGTATACAGAATAGCCTTGCTTATTGGCGGACTTATATCGAACTGCTTGATCTAGCCAGTGAAGTTTAATTTACCACAAATAATTTAGGTTATGAGTTCCTTCTATGATACCACGGGATCAATAAGGATTAAGGGATCATGCTCTTATACTGGACATAGAACGAAAAACGAGTTTTCCAATTACATACGATTGGAAAAATTTGATTAAAGTTGAAAATTTATTGCATATATAGTGTCAAATCATTAACGGTTGATAGACCTGTGGATAACATACATGACAAAGCATGAGTACGAACTGATCGAGTGACGTTTTCCAATTATATTTATTATGTTAGTTTAATTAAAAGTATAACGATTAATGATCGACAAAAATTGATTAAAGTTGAAAATTTATTGCATATAAATAGTGGCAAATCATTAACGGTTGATAGACCTGTACATAATATACATGACAAAATCTTTCTTAATGAATGTCATTTGCCTTATCTTGGAAAATGTTATTGTGGTCGGCGTCTTTATATAAACTGCATATATATATTATTAATAACTGCTAACATTACAATTCAATTTAGTTCATGCATATAGTTTCAAGTATATTGATGATGTTAGAAGTCCAATTTAATTAAGAATTCGATGTATATTTTCATAGAGGGTCCTGAAGGGGGGGGGGGGGGGGGGGCGTCTACATACCATTTCCCAACCCAAATTTTCTGCCTTAAATCCTGGCATTTCCGAGCCCTTTTTAATTTAATAGAAAGAAAATCCTAGAGCAGATGGTTCGTCTATGTGATCAAACACATTTCTGCGTTTAATTGCCCCGGCTTTAGAACAATTAAAGTTTTGCCGAAAAAATTTATCAAAGGTATATATGACTGATTTAAGGTCCAGACACACCGGACGCGATTCGACAACGCGACGCGATTTTTCGATTTTCACTGACCGATAACTTTGATTCTAGTTTAAATTTTCCAAATATGTAGAAGCGGCATAACATTTTGAGTTATTTGGTCTACATATCTTTCAAAATTTGTTCTCATTGGCTGTTTTATTAACATTCAAAAACTAAAAAATCGCGTCGCGTTGTCGAATCGCGTCCGGTACATGGACCTTTACAATAGCAGAATGAAATGACTTCATTGAGCCATAAGTCGGCTACATTCAATTTTCCTGGACTTTTTTTAGACAGTTTTCTTATCAAAAATTGCTCTGTGGTGTTTTCCAATTCTAATTCTTGTGTCTGTCATTCCTAGTCCTAGTAACCCAAACCAGTTTCCATTTTATCCTTCAAGACCCTCTTCATGTCATGATGATCTTTTAGTTCACACCTCAATTTGTGGAATTTCACTTTTGACTGCTTTCGTGGGCGTATTATAAAACTCGAATTATTCAGTGATTGCAAACTGTGCTTTATATAGCCTGTTTACGCGCCGAAATGTTGCATTGACAGTTTTTGTGCACAGATTAATTCATCAATTATAGATACATCTAAATTATCTTGTGTATTCTTCACCTCATTTTGTTAGAAGAATGCTCTAGACTAGTCTGGGTATATTATAATTTCCTTCCGTAATTAAATCTTTACTCTATATAGGGAGAACAGTTAAGATAGTCGCTATCCATGTAAAATTCAGTTAGTTTAGCTTAGGTTCATTAATTCTATATAAAATTGGAGCGATAAGAAACAGCCCAATTTCCGGACCTTTTTAGAACTAACAGCTTAGAAATGCATGATATATAGAGCTATCCAGTATATGTCAATGAAAGTTATTCTTAAACTCTACTCTCTAGTTTAGATTTACGCGAATAAAACATTGTAGCAATAGGAGAGTGCCCTCACTGGACGTATATACATTTAATTAAGCCTTTAAAGGATAACAATTTAGAGTTTAAAAAGTTTCATTTCGTATGGCTTTATCGGAGTTTCTATATAAGCTTCGCGGTTTGAGGACAACGGCAAACGGCATAGTCAGCTTTTTTCTGTCCAGAATTTTCTTTGAACTTCGTCATTTTATGACGACTAATATAAGGACGATAGGACGGCGGCCCAATATTCTGCATCTCCTTGACTCTTGAGATAATTTAGCTTGTAACTTGATGTGGATTTAGAGAGATTTAACGACCAGAAAAATACAAGCAAAACTTCGACGTTTCGAGCGAAATCCGTTCGTCCGGGGAGTTAGTAGCCGGGAAGTTAAAATAATAGTTAAGGCTATACTATAACTTGCCAAAAAAGGGATTTTTCAGATCAGTGGTCAAATTGAATCCTCTCAGCCTCAGGCAATCCGCACAAGTTTTCTGGTGTCACGATTGTGACTATACCTGCGTTGGCAAAAATCGACAACTTAGATCTTATAGCTTACAGTTTCATCAAAACATACAATCAAATGTGACCTGCTATTCTCAACTTATCACAATTGTGACAACTCGTCGCTCATATATGTGTACACAATTACACGACAATGACACTCACAACTGCGATAACAACGATTATTTTTCAAAATCTGAAATTGAAAAACACGTCCATATTTTGGATTTTCTGCGTAGCATGCACCTGCTGTAATTAAAGATAGGACAATAAGATATAAATACTAATTGAAGCTCGGATGTTAGTTAGTGAATATTTATGATAACCGCACTGACAAAAAACGACTATTTCGGGCACAGCAAGATACCGAGCAAAAATTTTGCCAACAACAGGAGAATTCATTGCTCTCCAACTGTGTCGGGCGAAAGCAAGGTTGAGTCGACAGAGCGAGACTGTGACTATGTATTGCTTCATGTGGGAAATTAAAGAGATATTTGGAATGACTTGACTGAATTGTAATGTAAGGTAAGAAATGACACAGCTTGTTGTATTCCCAAGCGAAATTTTAGCCAACTTTGGGAGTTCTAGTCGAAAGAACTGAACGGCACTTAACAGGTGTATACAATGATATAACCCTGTTGTGAATTAACAACGTTAGGTTATTATTGAACTGAAGAAGCAAAGCTTTCATGTATTTGAATTGGGTAAAAGTCTTCTAAAACGCCAAGGTGGAATTTGTAATTGTACTGAAGAATATTCTTATGAATAGATCTGTGAGTTTCTGGATAACGATCCTAATATCAGTGTATATCCTTTATCAATATAGGAAAATTATAATTATTACTTCATAGCTGGCCTCCCTTGATGTGTTTAATTGCACAGTCCAACACTTATACAGATATGTTCATTTAATTTAACTAGAATGATTAGATTGTACAATTTTTGGGAGCACAGATCACGCATTGAGGAACAAAATAGAATGTCACACTAACATGAATTATTTGTGGGCTTGTGCTATCATGAAACTATACCATGGAAAAATAATAACAAACTTCGACATTGTGAGCGAGGTCCTTTGATTACTAATTTCCATACGATGGGCATTCGCCTGAAAAAGATCGAAGTTGTACTGCGTAAATCAACCACTCAACTCGCTTAAGTTCTCAGGTTGCGTGCGACAGTTTTAGGTAGTTGTGTAGTGTAAATTAATCGGCCATTATAGAGAGAGTTTAGATTTTGCTACGAATATGACTATGAAATTCTTTATTTAGTGATACACCATCTTCTTATATGCCATCATGCATGTATACTAACTCCTCATCAATCTTGTACTCGTGCATCAGCCAAATTGACAATGGGATTTTCGGGAAAAGTCTCGTAAAAAAACAAGCGTTCACTGCGAGGTCAGTTTAACGCTACGTGCATGACTGTACCGTATATAGCTTTCCATAGCGACGTGAAAAACTGACCTATCCGTACCTTTTAGGAACGCTATTCTCAGAAGAATTATTGCAACAGAGAGATGTTGTTTCGCTCAGCTTCTGAAAGTTGTACATTCCGTATTGGATAGGTGCTTTTTCGCGCCGCTATGGAAAGCTATCTGTGCAAACGTATAGCCTATAACCAATGTGCATACGTAAGAAGATGACGAGCATGTCGGCAGACAACGAATCTCATAGTATAATCTGGAACGGTTTGCCCACTGCACCCATATAGAGACAATAACAAGATGGCTGCATGTGGATTGCGAGAGTTAACAATTACCCAAAAAATACAAGCATGGCTTCGACGTTTCGGGCGAAGGCCCTTCCGGTTAGGAAGTTATTTTTCAGGTAGCTAGTTGTATCTCTCACAATCTGAAATTAAAATCTAAAGCTTTCTAGTGAAGATGTCGCTATAATATACACATTTTACATTTTGCAACTCTCATCGCCTCGTTTGATCGGCGCTTTACACGAGGCGCGCTAATTTACACGATTTCAATGATTTGGTTTCTTGCACTTCACTTGGTGGAATTAGTACTAGAATGTTAGGGTTCGTAATCCAAGTGAGTATATATATACATTTTACACGATTTGCGCTTTCACAAATAGAAAGCTAAAGGCAATTTTTGACACGGCTACATCGTATCGTATCGTAATTGTAAAAGTTTATTTCAAGACGCTAGCCTCGTCAACATATACGTTGGTTTTCATGAAAGGCGTCGTCAATTTATCAGATACAAAGTATTAACAAGAAAATACGTAGAAACAAAGAAAAAACATTTATCAAACTGCATGCTGAATACAGGAGGTGAGACCCATACATTAACATTAGTAACAGAATTTTGGATTAGTATTTTCTTTGAAAATATGGATTGATCATCGTGCTTCTTTTGCTTCCCGAAATAAACCTAACATGCAGAAACACGTTCTAGCGTTGGTTTGCGTTTAAATTTGACGATAACTATCCAGTCCTATTTCTATCTTAATTCATGTTTCTATAGAGTATACATAGGTAACTCAAGGCGTTAGTATATATAATTAAGAACGCGTCGTATTAAAATTTCCGTGCGTTTAAATAATTAAAAAAGCAGGCAGGTACCTGCGATTATACGAAGGCCGAACAGCCTATATACATATATGCATCGAGTTGTACGTGAGTTTTCAATCTCAATTTTGAAAAAAATGCCTGAAGAAACATTCGTAACCGATTCATTACCAACTGCAACTACAATAGACCACAGTGCATTGCGATTTAAGACACTGCGATATTAATTATTATTATACAATAGTTATATCATTTGCTAGTCAAGCAAATATATGCATTCTATATTAGAAAAGACAGTGGAAGCTGAAAGGCTTTTAATATGAACAGGTACATATTGATAACACTGTTGACAGGATAAAAAAAAATGCAAATTAAATATGTGAAATATATGAAATAATATTTATTTATATTGGGAGTTTAACATGGTTGCAGGGAAACGAGCACACGATGCTGAAAAAGTGCTCAAATTTTATAAATCACTAAGAAAATTCAATCGAAGGTTTGTGTATTGCATTGGCAATGGTAGAAAAGTGGTAGGAACATTTGTCAACACGATTGAAGAGCATTTTATCACACGTACTTTATGGAAGAATCTTCAGTAGAAACTATATACTTATATATATTACTTATACAGTATATATATTCTGCTCATTACTACTTAGATATCGATTGTTGGGGCAAGAGAGAAGCTCAACAGTAACTTGCTGCAGTTGAAATAACTTAATCCATTAAAGTCTCGATCTGCCAAAAGAAAATGAGAGACTACCTCTCATCAACTTTGAACTGATTCAAATTTTGTTGAAAGTAATTGATGAGAGTTTTCGCCTGCACGCGAGCGGTAAGTAATATCCAGTCAACTCTCACGCAACTCTTGTTCTCGTTTGACCGGGGCATGAGAGACGACAAAACTCTTTGATGCAAACTTTCTCTTCGAGTTTGATCAGGGCTTATATTGTAGCATTTCATTTTTTGTTCGTTTGTAGGCATTGATGAAACTCCAGTGAATCAAATGACCTCAGTGGCTGCTATAGTCGTAGAAACAATCATCCTTGTGCTAATATGCGCTGGTGCACTTACTGGGAATGTTATGTTATTCGTACTCATTGCAAAAACCCCCGCTCTTCAAACCAAAGGAAATGTCTTCATCCTTAACCTAGCCGTGGCGGACTTATTAGTTGCTGTCGCCAACATGCCTATCACCATAGTAACCGTGATAGCGGATGGCTGGATCTTAGGGAAGGATGTATGTCTGACATCTGGGTTTTTTACCCTGCTAACATTTGTCGCTTCATGTATGGCATTGACCATGATCAGCGTGAATCGCTACCATGCAATATGCCATTGGACAGCATATCACCACAAGTACACAAATCGAAGATGTGCGGTGTATATTGGCATCGTATGGGGTATTACTATAGGTCTATCGTTGCCCCCGTTTTTTGGCTGGGCCAAATTTGACTTCGATGAAGGACAGAGCTACTGTTTTGCTGAGTGGAACCTCAGTAAATCTTACACATTATTTATGATCGCAGCGTGCTTATTTGGTCCGATCATCGTCATGTCTTATTGTTATATAAAAATTTATAAGTTTAAAAAGGAAAGCAGAATTCGCGTCCAGGCCGCGGCGGGTGATAGCTCTTCAAGTGAACTGCATGTCGTGACAACGGCCAGGGAGCTGGTCTCCACAGCCGCTGACCGGAGTGATCGTAAGCTCACTCGAACTATTATGACCCTGATTGTTGTGTTCGCATTGTGCTGGTCGCCTTTTGCGATAATCATGATCCTGCAAGTGTTTTTCGACGTGCAAGTACCGCGTTGGGCTGACCTCGGCTCACTTGTGCTCGGCTACATGAACAGTTTTTGCAATGTGTTTGTGTATAATGCTACGAATAAGACGATCAGACAAGGATATAGAACATTACTCGGCTGCAAGCCGAACAGAATTGACGTTGGTAGTTTTCAAACGACAACTTCTTAACATGAATGAATAAAAATGAAAAACACAGACCGGGTTTAGATTGTTCTTTTCAACCTTTTGACCTGGGGCCCGGTTGTTCAAAGCTCAGATTAGCGCTAATCCTGGGTTAAAACATAGTCTGTCAAGCAGGGCTTGAATTTTATCGCGGCAATTGCCGTAGAGGGAGCGGAACAAAATGCCGTGGATTATTGCGGCAACGATAGCAATTTTTTGCCGTATATAGTATAATTTTTATACTATTCACTGTACATTATTAATTCGATACTTGAATTCAGATGTTGATCAAATCATGCGAAAATAAGGAAAATTACTATTTTATTTTTAATCTCAGTTTTCGTCGAAAAAAAAGCACTTAAAGAAATACGTAAACATGTTTCTAGCTTGTCAACAATCCAAAGTAACAATAAACTTAAATTTTTATTAATTTGAAAAATGCCGTGGAAACTGCCAAAATTGCCGTAGACAGCTGTTACGTTCTACGGCAATTTTTAACGCCATTGCCGTCGATTGATTTCAGGGAAATTCGAGGCCTGTTGTCAAGATATGATGGCCTGGAATCCCGGCAAACTTCAAAGCCACAAAACAGAAGACCTTCGTTTGACGTTGACAGTGTACCGCACCGTGCACAAATCCTTTGTACCATGGATTGTCAAGTAACTGGATAGGAAATTTCTGACGTCATTGGCCGCAACCTTGTTGAAAAACGTGACGTCACGCGTATTGCGAATATTACCAAAGTTCTCGGCATTTTTGTTGTTTTGCTACATTTTCCACTTTAAAAAGGTGATATTGAAGCATAAACTGGTCTAATTGTTTTAAAAACATGCCTAAGCCACGACAAAGTATTCAAGGTAAATGTTTTTCGTCTTTGTTTTGTATTTTTTTTTACATTTGTAGCTACGAAATTGGCGTCACAAATTTTAACGAAATTTGTGATGTATTTTTCACTGTTTACTGCTTGAAATATTTGCTAAAATTGACTGGCAATACTTAGAGTTTTCATCGTAGAATGGCGTGGTTATATTTATTTGCTCTTTGACAGTTTGACTAAATTGTTTAGCTGTATTATTGCTAAACATGCCGTTTTTGAGAATTTGGTTTTCAACTAGGTTGGGACATCCAACCACGCCATCAGTCCATTGAAAACATTAGGTCACGTCAGCTAGTTTCTTATCCATTTATTTTATTATCCATGTTTCCGTATAATGGATACGAAAATACAATGAGCTCAATCACCGTGACTATACACATATTAACATAAACTCAGAGAAAAACATAATACAATGACTTCTGTTTAGTAATTCCAGACCATCATTTCTTGATATAGACTATGATTAAAAGTTAAAACCTAACCAGATATTTCTGCATGTCTATTAATTTCAAAAGTTTACAAAAGAAACGTTTACAAGATTTCTAGAAAAATACTTCCATGTTTATAAACACGGCTGACACAAAGATTGCTTTGAAGATTAGGTTAACCTAGGATTAAGCTTAACTGGCTTTTGGACAACCGCCCCCGACGTTTATGCTAATAAGTATTCGCCCGATACTATCAAGGAAAATCACGCGGGCGTTTAGCCAGTTTTGCACATGCGCGAATTTGTCCACGCGAAGAGAATTGTTTCACTGTGATTGTCTCAGATTGGTTAGCGAAATATCGCTGCGGAAAGGCGGGAAAGCTAGGAACTTATTGTACATTTTTGCGGCGAATATTTCGCCAACCAACATGCAACAAAATGTCTTACGAATCTCAGTTTATATGTCAGGACGGGACCCAGCGTGCTGCGCGTTTTTCGGGTTTGATGCAAGAATATTTTAATCTACGAGTTTTAGAATTAAATGGCTGAGTTGAAGGAGGATAGCACCCATTGGCTGTAATTCACGCAATGCATAGTTCCGTTCAGCCAGTTAAGCAATTTAATTTCTGCTGATAATATACGCGAGTGGAACGCAGGCGTTTTTCTGGCCTCTGTGGAGCAATGAGGGTCTTGATAGTAAGATTGCCAAAATATTTGTGAATCCAAAAAATAGGTACACTGTGGCGTACAGAGGTACCCTGTAGCATACATACTTGAATTGAAACGACATGAAATGATCGCTTTATACTTTATACAGTAGAAAATGGTGTTTGGATGTTTCTGAATACATTAAACACTATACATAGAAAAACTGACTGTTAGCTTTATACACACAATTATACTTAAACTATATGTAAAAAAACAATGGCAAAGCTACTTGATGCCCGCAAGGAATGCTGGTCTTAGTAGTCATCGCTGAGGAAAATTTCGATAGTGGCTATTTTGAATTGTTTTCCTGGGCGATGACTACTAAGACCACAGAATAAGGACCTCTTTATTCTGTGAATCAAGCCTTGGCTTGTGACGTCATTATGCCATTATGCATAAAAGGTCTATTCTGTTAGATTTGAATAATGCAAATCTAGCATGGTTAAATACCAGTTTCTTGTATTTTACACATTACCTGTCGATAGCTGAGATACCCAAGCATAGCTTTTCATTATAATCTAAGTATGAAAAATATTATTCAGATCTATTCACTAGCTAATATTTTATATTTGTGCTCATTTATCATTCAAATACCTGATTCAAATATTAGCCTCAAGCATAAACAAATAAAAATAATTTTACTATTCGATTTTAATACAGCTTCAACTTTATTTGTCCGGTTAAACATGATAAAAATATGTAAATATTTATTAAAAATCAAAAACTTTATTCGAAAATCAAAAAATTTTCATTCCGATTTTGAAATTTTTGCTAATTCAATAATTCATGTAATCATATAAATCAGAGACGTTGATTGGCTAGAATTTATCTACGTGTAGCCAATGAGGGGGCGTGATAGTTTCTACTTTCGAAAAGGAAATTCGTAGGGTTCGACTTTTATATATAAACATCGTCAAACTTATTCAAATTTTGTTGAATTTCTCGCGGAATATTTTACAGTCGAGTAAGAAAATACAATTTGGCTTCACGGGGTCCTGTAGGTTATTTATTATTTTGTGATTCGACGCGATTTTGACGCGAAGTTTGCCCGCTAGGGACTTTTCATACTTCGGCATTCTTCAGTGGACTGTCAACATCGCCAGACAAAAATGTGTGCAATTAGGCTGCTTGCAAGTCTTCTGGTCTTTGTTTTTGCCTTGGTTTCAGGTAAGTTATGGCCGTTGTACTTTCGTATTTTTGTTAAAGTTATTTTTCCAACTGTATCTTTGTATTTTGTGCTGTTGTAGGGGCGCGTTTGAACGACTTCGTGTCGCATTTTGAGCCGCTAAATTACGACCGAAATTTATTGGAAAACGGACATCAACGAGTTCGGCGTTCGCCGGTTCAAGACGGCACACTTCATTTAGATTTTAAATCACACGGAAGGTATGGTTAGACCCTTAAGGTTTATTAGCCAAGATAACATTTTAAGTAGAATGCTTGGCCGCTATTTGGTGAAGGCACTTAGGCAATGGCCATATTTTTGTTTACAATTTGTTAAAACTATAAAATTTCGTAAAAGTTATATATGATATGATACTAAGTTCCTGCTCGCACATAAATAGAAGCTTGACAAAGGTTTTTTGGTCGAAAATCAGCTTAATTTCGATCATTTTCTACTTAAATGAGCAGACGTGACTCAAGAAAGACGGCTTTAAATTTTATATATTTGCATTTGAAATAACACCCGGTGGTTTTGCAATTGTGTTGTTAAAGGTTGCTAAGTTCCCTGAGTGTGTTCTTTCTATTTTCCCATGCCAAGTATAATATCAAACGAATGTCTTTGTGTTGCTCTTACAATAATAAAATCGTGAAATTTTATTTCACACAAAAAAGTAGTTCAATGAAAGTTTTGTATTTCAATGATGTTGCAAAAAAAAAATTCTCAATTTTTTTTGTGTATATTTCAACCACTGAACTCTATGCATATATGGAATGATATCTTCTCAGGCAATTGCTAAAGATTATATCAGATAGCAACTAATCAGTTGATATTGCACGTCGGTGGCCTGATATGATAGAGATGGATTTTCCGTCATGATCACAGGATTTTCCGTCATGATCACGGGATTTTCCGTCATTATCACAGGATTTCCATACGTCAGTGGGCATGGCAAATCATCTGTTTGACAGATAATCCGCCTTGTGCAAACACATGGTCCCAAATAAACTATATAACATGGCCCTAATAAACTATATACCACCTTTGATTTTGCTGCAAAAATTTGTTAACTGAGGGAAACAAGCGGCATATTTATAGTGGCATATTTATAACATGACTATCATATGATATATCATATGATAGTCCTATGATATATCACTATCTGAAAAATGTAAGCAAAATTTTAACTTTTCGAGCAAAAACCCTTCGTTAGTAAGTTAGTGACCGACGAAGGGCCTCTGCTTGAAAACATTGAAGTTCATGGTACGGTGATTGATCGATAATCAGTACTGGTATTAGGCTGATATTTGTCAATCAGAATCGGTAGAATTATCTGTATTTCCAAATGTGTAAAATCGATTGTTGAGAAAATACGCACTTTAAAACTTATATACATTGCGTATTGATACATGTTGCGTTAACACATGGTACGGTGAAAATACAAAAATTTAAATTTCGTACCTTTTTTGCCATGAAACTAACGAAAAATGTATATTTGTGTTCCTTTGCTACAAATTATCATATTTAAAAATATTTAGAGAAAACTAAGTTATATCGTGGTATTTGCCAATAAATTTGTAATCTCTACAGAAAATCAGAACTAATTACAGTAAATCACAACAAACTACAGAGGCGGAAGTGGGACACCTTTTGTATTTTCACTGTAAATAAACTGATGTTTTCATTGTTTGAGTTCATCCACACAGACCACCTGTTTCCATAGTTACAAAATGAACCAGCTGTTCGCCCGAATACGTGTCAAATATTGCCAAAGGCAGCCAGTCTGAGGTAACGATTTAATTTGATATTTCTGTAATTTCAGGTCGTTTAAGTTAAGGTTGAAGCGAGATACTACTATATTTGCGCCAAACTTGGACGCTGGCCCAGAATTTGATCCTAGCAAATTGTACAAGGGTCATGCTGAAGGTAACATAGAGTTCCAATAGTTGAACTATTTCATCTAGAGCAATATTTATAAATTA